TGGTAAGTACGCTCAGCATGAGTATACTATGGTATCAGAACAAGGGTGAGGAAGGTGGCAGCCCCGAACTCGTGATACCATAGCAACGTTCCGGTGCACGTGGATCTGCCTGTCGTGTGAATCGCCTATTACCGTACTGACTTACAGACGGTTTTATGTAACCTTCACCTTCACTTCACCATAGGTACAGGCATTGCTGCCTTACTTCACCATAGGTATAGGCATTGCTGCCTTCTTGCTGTGGATCATAAATGATGCCACAGCTCCTACGCTATGATGAAAAAGTATATATATTAGACTATAATTATGATCAAGTATGAACAGTATAGGAAATGATAAGATGTCATGACTATGAGCAGGTACAATTATAAATACCATGCAGCAGTGTATTTTATGTGTGTTGTGGTTGTAGATAATATGGGGGATAGGCAGTGGATGATGGGGTGGGGACGATGTATGACTGAGATAGGTGAACATCACAGCGGGAACGAGACTTGTGACGGAAACTGATGTAAGTTCCTACAAGTCAACGGCTTCCTCAGCAAAAAAGCTTTTACTGGGGAGCAGGTAGACTTGTACCCCTGATGCAGTCAATACGTTTTCAGTGCACCTTGTCCTCACCCACTTACTGAGGTGTGGTGAGCCCATAAGTGGGATCATTTCTAAGTTTCAGGGGTGTCAGCCGTTGGGCGGTTCAATAGGCTATTGAATCTTCTTTCCAAGATTCCTTTTGGGTCTCCGTCTCCTCTCCGGGGGAGACTCACGCGACCAGTTTTGCCAGTGAGCAAGTACAGTACAGTACAGTACAGTGAGTGAGTGTGTTCGATTACGCACGCAAATAGATTCACGAATCGATTCACGGATCGATTCATGAATCGATTCACGGATCGATTCATGAATCGATTCGCGCTATTCACATCACCCCATGTGAACAGAGTTAATGGATTCGATTTCCGAATCGATTCCAGGGCTCATAACATGAAAATCGAACGACTTGAATGCATGCGAATGGATTCATGAGTCGATTCAAGTGCATAATCGAACGCAGCCAGTGTGTGTGTGTATGTGTGTGTGTGTGTGTGTCCCTTGTGTTTGAAGGGGACGGTTGCACTTTTTGTAGCTCCGATTTATCTGAGTTTTTTCCGTCGTTCTTCTTACTAGTCTTAGGCCACGGGGTGGCTCTGGGTTCACCAGAGTCGCCCCTGGCGTGTTCCTAAATTTCCTGGGGCGAGGGTTCCGCGGCGCGGTCGCCAGGGCAGTTTCTTTTCTGTCACGACCGTTGTCGTCCTCGCCTCTCCATTCGCGGTGGTGTAGCTGACCCCCGAATGGTTCCAAACTGCGAAGCTCAGAGAGTACTGTCAGGAAGGCGGAGGAGAGGAAGGCTGCGAACATTGGCCTTTGGATCTTGGAACGTCCGCACTCTGGTCAACAATGACGGACCGGTCGAGACGGCAAAGAGACGAGTGAATTTTGAAAATTTGAATTTTGTGCCCGTCGTGGAGGACAGAAAGATCGACTTGGTTATCCGTGAGCTGTCCAGGTTTGACGTGGAAGTGGCTGGCCTGCAGGAAACCAAATGGTTTGGGAGAGACTCTTTCAACATCGGCGATTCGATTGTACTCGCCTCTGGTCGCCCCGTACCTGACGAAAATTTTCGTCGTGGCGAGGGTGTTGCGCTGGTTCTGCGTCGGAGGGCCAAGCAGGCATTTGAACGTGCAGGCTGCCAGTGGAGGCCCGTCTCGTCGCGCATCGTGACGGCCAGGTTGAGATTTGAGCACGGGTGGATGTCAGTGATTTCATGTTACGCTCCTACGTTTCGATCCCCCCATGCTGACAAGGAAGAGTTCTTTGCTCAGTTCCAGTCTGCTCTCAGCGATGTCAACTCTGCTGATGACGTCATCGTCCTGGGGGATTTCAACGCTCGTGTTGGTTTTGGCCCACTGCAACTAGAGATGTGGCAGGGAGTGCATGGATCACATGGTGTTGGTGATGTGAACGATGCTGGTCATCGACTACTCACATTCTTGGCGTGTCAACAGCTCACAGTATGTAACACACTGTTTCCCAAGAAACGCATTCACATGTACACCTGGCAACACCCTGGATCACAGAAGTGGCATTGTATAGATTATGTGTTCGTACGCCAACAACACCGTAAACGTTGCATGGACTGTCAAGTGATGCGCACTGCAGAGTGTAGCACAGACCACCGTCTTGTCCGCATGAAATACCGGCTACCTGACGTTGTGCAGCAACGGTACCATCATGATGCACGTTCCAGGCCGCGGAAGTTTGCTGTTCACCAATTCAATCGGAAGCCATTCATGAGTGAAGAGGAGGCTGAGCGTGTGGCTACTGTACGTGCTGAGTACTGTGCTAGTCTTGAATCTCGTTTAGCCACGTATGACCGCGCCTCGTCTGTGGACTGTAAGTGGAGTACCGTGAAGTCGGCTGTTGTTGACGCGGCGGAGCAGGTGGTTGGTCGGGACAAGCGGCGGATGCCAGATTGGTTCCGTGACAATGCCCTTGTATTGGAGCCTCTACTGGAGTCTCGTAATACCCTGTATAGCCAATGGCTGAGAAGCGGCAGGGACTCTGATCACCGGGCATTCAAAGAAGCGCGTGGCCGGGCTCGTACTGGTATCCGGAAGGCAAAAACAACTTGGTTGATGGACAAAGCGGCGGTGGTGCACCGTGGACGTTTCAGTGGCAAAGCTGTCTGGTCTGCCATTCGCGACATGCAACGCTGCTTTGGGGGCTTGCAACCCCTGTCTGTCCAATCCATCCGCAATGCCGATGGAGTTCTTTGCGAATCTGTTCAGGAGCAGCAGGGCACGTGGCATGGGCATTTCTCGGGTGTCTTGAATGTCTGCAGTGTGTACGATCCGCATGTCTTCCAACTTATCCCTCAGCGTGAGGTCGAGGACTCCCTCTCACTGCCACCATCGGAGGATGAGCTGACTCAGGCAATTAGACACCTACAGAATGGCAAAGCTGGTGGTATGTCACAGATTGTGCCGGAGCTGCTGAAGGTTGGTGTGCCTGTCCTCCATCCACTCCTCCTGGACCTACTCCAATCTGTCTGGTCGGGGGGTTGCGTGCCCCAGGACTGGCGCGATGCACTGCTGGTACCGATTCCAAAGAAGGGCGACCTCTCTCGTTGCGATAATTGGCGAGGGATCGCATTGCTGGAGGTTGTCGGCAAGTTGGCTGCTCGGATCATGCAAAACCGATTGCAAGGTATTGCTGAGGCGGAACTGCCTGAATCCCAATGCGGGTTTCGGCGGCACCGTGGTTGTGCGGACGCCATCTTCTCTGTCCGTCAACTTGTCGAGAAGTCGTACGAACATCGATCGAAGCTCTTCTGCGTATTTGTGGATCTCCGCAAAGCATACGACTCTGTCCCTCGCGAAGCTCTTTGGCAGGCATTGCTGCGGCTGGGTGTGCCGCCCCCGACTGTGGCCATCATCAAATCATTCCATACAGACATGTCAGCTTGCGTTCGCGTTGCCGGTGGTTGCACGGATCCGATATCTGTCAAGAATGGGCTGCGCCAAGGGTGCGTTATGGCACCTGTACTGTTTAACTTGTACTTCGGCTTAGTTATTGAGCGTTGGCGATCCCTTCTCGTTGAGCGTGGAATAGAGTCTGGTGTGGACTTCAGCTTCACAATTGATGGCCAGCTGTTCCCTCGTGTCACTAGGCGTCGTCCCCACTCCGAGTCCGGCCATGCTGATGACTTCGAGTTTGCGGATGATGCTGTACTGCTCGCTACAACTCGCAACGCAGCCGATCAATCCCTGTGTGCCTTTTGTGAGGTCGCATCCAGCTTGGGTCTCACAGTGAGCATGACCAAGACCAAGCTTCTCGTTGCAGGTTTCGGAGTTTGCCCTGCTGATTGCTCTGATTTGGTCATTGGCAGTGATAGGGTTGAAGCAGTCACCTCATTCCCCTATCTTGGTTCCACCATCACTCCAGACTCGCGGTCGCAAGCGGACATTCGGAGCCGTCTAGCAAAGGGTGCAGGGGCCTTTGGTGGTCTTCGGCGCATCCTACATGACCGGAGCCTGAACCTCCCTACCAGGCGCCACCTGTATGTCGTTTGCGTACTGTCAACGGTTCTGTATGGTTCAGAATGCTGGACGCCGTTGAAGGCAGATTTAGATAGAATGGACCGGTTTCACCATGCCAACATTCGCTCCATCCTTGGCGTATCGCGAGGCCGACAGTGGGAACAGCGCATCTCTTCACAAGAACTGCGAGCACAGTGGGGTGATCCCACACCATTGTCACGCATGGTGCAGCAGAGACGGTTGGAGTGGCTTGGGCACCTGGCTCGTCTTGATGACACCAGAGTACCGAAGCAGTTGCTGTTTGCCTGTCTCCCTCAGTCTCGGCCATTCTGTGGACCTCGTCGTCGCTGGAAGGACACCATTCACACGGACCTATCCGTGGCTGGAGTGCGTAACTGGTTTGAGTTGGCAAGCGATCGTGGAGAGTGGCGTGGAGTGGTGACAGCAGCAGGTGAGGACAAGGAACCCGCCCCGAAGAGCATCGAGTGCCCAACCTGCAACCGTCTGTTCCGCCGTAGTTCCGACATGGTCCGTCACAAGTGTTCAGCAATCCGTCAGCTCCCGGTATCGGAGCAGCCTGGATCAGTACAGTGTCCAACATGCAACCGATGGCTACGTAGCAGAGGAGGCTTTGCGGTGCATAAGTGTCGGCTAGGCGATGTCGACCAGCCGCCGGCCCCTGCCCCTGCTCCTCTTGTTGTTCCTGGTGTAACTTGCACGAACTGTCAGCGTTCATTTAAATCGGCTGCGGGTCTCAAGCGTCACCGTTGTGGAACCTGTCCAAAGCGCCCTACTGTGGCTGAACGCCAACAATTCAAGTTTCACTGCCAAGTTTGCCACAACCGACGGTTCCGGAGGCGGCAAGATCTGGAACGCCACTTGGAGCATTGCCTTCCTCCCCCCTAACCTCTCTGACAGTACCTCCCTTTGGGGAGCGGCGTGGCCATTTCTGGCAGCTGTCAATAGTAGTAGTAGTAGTAGTAGTGTGTGTGTGTGTGTGTGTGTGTGTGTGTGTGTGTGCGTGTGCGTGTGTGCGTGTGTGTGCCTCTGTGTTTCTGATGGTGTGCGGACGTGCCCGTGCGTGTGTGTGCCTGCACACGCTCACACGTCTGTACACGTGGCCATGTGTCTGTTCTCATCGTAACCCATTCTACTCAGCTCATTGAAAACTGCAGAGAATGTTGCGGCTATGCAGTCCATACCCAAAGACCGACTGATGATCGAAACAGGTACTAGTAACAATGCATCCTGCGTGTACAACCTCAGACAACGCCAATGTGTTTGTGCAGTGCAGGGTCTAGATCTTGACAACAACGAATTGTGTTGAGGACAATTTATTGGATCTGTTTGTGTTTTTGCGTATGTGTGAGCCTGTGTGTGTGTGGGGGTGGGGGGAGTGTTGGAGGAGGATGTTTTTTTGCGGTTGGATTTTGTGTGGTGTGTGGGGGGGGGGGGGTGTGTGCAGGAAGTGCGTGCGTGTTCTGTTGTTATTTCCATTTGCGTTTCTTGCTGCTGTGCTGCAGATGCGCCATGGTGTGAAATTCGCTCAACACACGCAGGTCACCGTCATGTCAAGACCAGCTTTCCGTCGAAGAAGAAGGAACGCTTTGAGGCGGGAAGCACTGTGAAGAGTCGCAACGAGCCCTGCCACATCATGTGAGTAATGGCTGCCCCGTTGAGTTTTGCTTTTTTGCTCTTTGGCAACCACCCCAGCATGGTGTGGATAGTAGGGTGTAGATTATCGGAAGGAACGACAGTGAACTACATTTCTTTCACGTCTTTCCTTTTGTTGATCAGTTAGTTGTCAGTTGTGGCAGGTTATGAGTGTTGTTGTTCCAAGGAGGTACGGTGCAGGACTGAGTGCTGAGCAGGTTGTCTCGAGTCCTGGTATGTAGCAAATCTTGTATGTGCTGAGCAGCTCCCGTTTGCCAGCCCCGACCTCATCTTCACTCGTGGGTGTCATTTAACCCATTGAGCACAACGCCACCTGAATGCGCCCCACGTCAACACCTGTAAAAGTCGCATGTCCTATGAAAGTATGTGTTGTTCAAGGATCGAAAACTTTACCTTCCCTTGGCAGTCGACTGAACCTCAGTGGCGGATCCAGGGGGGGGGGGGGGGGGCAGGGGGCCTGGGCCCCCCCTTTGAAAATTTCGACCTTGGTCTAGGATTACAGTAGACCAGCTAGACTGCATGCATGTAGAATGAGCGCTCGAAATGACTTGGCGTGTCAAGTGGGTCACGCGTGCTGGGTACTTATCCGTCCGGTGTCACGCACTAGCCAGCACGCTGTGTTTATGTACAACTACTGACTGTACGCACTGCGACCTGAGGACACGGCCGCACTTCAAACATGTGAAAAACGTGCCAAAAATGCAGGGCCTGGTACAAAGTGCAGCTAGTGCAGCGATCGCGTTGGGCTGAAGTCCTGTACGGTGCACCGTGCTGTCGGCTTCGTCCTTCCTTTTTTCTTTTTCATTATTTTGTCAGAAACTAAACGCTCTCTCTACTTCGCTTGTAGCCAAGGGGTTACCTTCAGATATGCGATGAAGAGGAAAGGGTATGACATCAGGTCGTTCTTCAGTGGACCGGTAGATAAGGGAGCTCGCGTTGAGAAGCCGTCCAAAGGTCCGTCGCAGCCGCTGCCGAGTGGAAATGTTCCTGCACTTGCGACATTACCCGAACCTGCTCCTGAATGTGAAGTCATTTCAAGTCATTCCTCCAATGACAGTTCTCTGCCTGGATCCGGTTTCGCACGCCAAGCCCACTGAGAGTAGCACTGTTCCAGCGATGGAATATTACATGTATATTTGTGGTAACTTTGTAACATACAAATACCTGCTAGTAGTAGAGTAGTGTGGCCCTAATGCCTGAATTACACCACAGCTTGACAACACTTCAAGTGCAGTTTGAAAATGTCGTGAGAATGGAATACAGCAGCTCTACACAACTTCGGGACTTAGTCGTTGTTGTTTTGTTTGGGGGGGGGGGCGTATACCTTGGGCCCCCTCTTCGGCCAAATCCTGGATCCGCCACTGGAACCTTGGACGAATTCCACGATCTTGAGCTTCCTGGAAAGGTCTTGAGACGAGGGACGAATTGGTTTTAAACCCAGCTCGGAGCGCACCCAAAACCCCATGCTATAGTCTGGCAAACCTCATCCACGTGCTCGACAGCCTTGAGCATGGCCAAGACTAAAAGAGCTCAAATCCTCAGCTGCCATTTCAGTCTCCTTGTTCGTATCAAGCTCATTTTTTGTGAGAACTCCCTGAGATCCACTACCATCGTTTGAATCTGGTTTCCATGCGGGTAGGGGAAAATGATACAAAGTGGAAAATACGCGTTCTGCAGGCCGCGCAAAAAATCTACTTGAATTTACTGTGTCGAGTGGCGTATCTCAACAACCGGTTGCCGTATCGCTTCGGCG